ATTATTTGGAAATTTGGGAACAGACATAGCGAGTAATGTTCAGTGAAAGAAAGAAACAATAAAATGGAACACGTGCATGTAACGACTTCAATTGTCTCCCTGGGCTGTCGTCACTCACGTCCCCTTAGTGCCGAGGACCAGGCACAAACTGACCCTCCGGGACTCCTTTTGCACATAAACTAAAACTCAACTGCCCTTTGCCAACTGCAAAGCCCTGCATGGCCTGGCCCTGCCGATTCCCAGCTCGTGCCCAGCCAGTCTGCATTTGCGCCACCGGCGCCACTGGCTTTTCTCTTCCTTGACTCGGGAACATGTGTTAGGCTCCGTGGCCTTCACACTCTGTGCCTCTGCCGGGAATACAGTGCCCTTGATCTCTGGGCTCCTGATGTTCCCCTGGCTAATGGCTGCTGAAACTTAAATGTCATGACCTTTCCTTCTAAATTAAGTCCCTACCCACAGCCTGGCAGTATCCAACACAGAACCACACTTTGTCTTCATGACACTTACCACAATGTGTTATTATATATTTACTTACATAATAATGTGTCTTATACCTGCTTTTCTTACTTCTTTAAGGACAGGAATCATGTCTGGTTCACCACTATGTGCCCAGTTCACCGTCCCACATGTAGTAGATGCTCCATAAACATCTACCCAAATGAAACGATAAATGGCTATTTGTTCTAATGTTCTCCATTCCACAGAAGGGAAAACTAAAACCTAGGAGAAATCAGTTTCCCCTAAACCCAATGGCATATGGTGGCCAACCTGGAGTCAGAATTGAATTAGAATTTAGATAATGATTAGAATGATTATTTGGATTTGAACTATCACTGCCAGGCAAGGACTAAGGACAGAGAAGAAGTGTATCAGGTTAAATTGGAAATGGGGAGGAGATATGGAAGTTTTCATCTATTCTATAAAATTCTATAAAGGCTCTTAAGTAAAGAGTTTTAATTTTTGATAGCTTATCTATCATTAAACAATGCCCAAATACCAATACTCTAATGTATGCAATAACTAGAATTATCTATTTTCCCAGCCACGTGGCCAGTCAGATCTAATTGAGAAAATATTTAATAGCAAAGGCAAAAAAAAAAGGGGGGGGTGCAATATGGCCGTACTCTGTCTACGGGACCTTGGCCTCTGGCTCAGCCTAATACCAGATGAGGCTCAGAAAAACTCTGATCCCTCTTCCTGTCCCCCAAGCCCTGTTGTACTGAATGACTGCCACCCACACAGGTTAACTGTTACTCTGAACCCAAACTGAGCTTTGCACCCAACTTTCGCAACTCAATTTCAATGTATTCTTTGCCCAACAAGAACAGCAGAAAGCTAACCCTGGCTGATGGTCCCCATGATTTTGCACAAAGGGGACACCGGAGAGAGGTCCCCCAGAATTCATCAGCAAACAAAGACACAGAGCAAAAAGGCAAACAACGGCCTCTCAACAGGGTAGCTCTGGGGAGTACTGGCAGGTCCCAGCTTCTACATAGTCTTTCTATTCTTCCTGGCAGCAGCACACAGGGCCCCTACAGCAGGGGAGCCTCCTTGAGACCTGAAAACTAATAGCCCACTTAGCACATGCACCACTCACTGAGCAAATGCTTATTGAGCATATCCCTGATGCCAGGCTCCGGGGCCACGTGTGTACACTCCAGGATGGCAGAAGGGAAATGAGCAATCATGATTTTCTGTTCACTGTGGGCAAGAACTATCATGGAAATGCTAACTTCTTCCCCGCCTAATGGAAAGGACTGGTTCTGACTAGGTGAGCTAACAAAGTGGCACCAAAACCCTGAGCAGGTTCCAATGTTAAACAATATCATCTAGAAATTCAAGCCAGGTGCACTGGGAAGTCGCTACCAGTCAGAACTTAAGATCCAGGGACATTAAACCTTTAGTGCAAAGAACGCCAAGCCTGCTTTAAAAAGGAGTGGGGGGACGGTGGGGGGAGGCTGGGCCTATAGGAAATTGGTTCTTGTGCTACTTCCATGGAAGACCCAGCCTGGACTCCTGTCCTCTGGCCCAAACCCCAGGAGCAGGCCAGATCTTTCCAACTCTGACAATCTAAGCACCTGGGACCTGAAACAAACCACCCTTCTTTCTGGCTCAGCAAAATGCAAATCTTTTAGAAATCAGGAAGGGAGGTAACTAACTGGACCACCAGCCAGCAGGCAGTGATATACAATCTAGGAAAGCCCTTTTGTATCAGGATGTTGTGTCCCTACTTCTTCCTTCAACAGGCACTCTGGCATAAGACTGCAAATTGCCTTGACTTAAGCCTGCCTATCTCTCCAATCTTAACTCTCGTTAAACCCATGCGCTACATTGAGCAAGAAGCAACACGCTCAAGACCAGTGGAGACAGGTCCATTCTGGATGGACCAACCCCCACATCCTGTTACAGGACTCTGATTCCTTGGTTGACCACAGGGAAATTCCTTCCCTGCTTTGTGCCTCAGTACTGTTATCTGTAAAATGGAGGCTTGGACTGTACTACCCTGAAGACATCCTTTCATTGCTAAGATGGTATGATTCTTCCCACTACTCACTGGCTAATGGACACACCACAGAAGAAATGATTTCCTATCGTGCGGGCTGCTATAACCAGGATGAGAAGAGGCAGGAGATCGGAACGACACATAGCTAAGAAATGAGGATGAGAGATGAATTTGGGAACACCAGACTCTAGGAAGAGCCATGGGAGGCAGGAGGAAAGGTGAAGAAGTCGGAAACTTTAAGATCTTGAGAGGGAGGATTAAAAAAAAAAATGTTACCACTGAAAAGCAAATTTGCCATAGTGGTTTAGAGTGCCCACTCTGGAGTCAGAAGGCCTGGATTTGAACCCGACATGTGCTTCTGGGGACCTTGCAAGTTCCCCAGCCACAACAAGGACATAAGAGTACTTCACAGAGTCACAAAAAGATTAACCCAGTTAATAACGCACTATTGAGTGCCTAGCACATGGAAGCTCATTCTAAGTGTTTGCTTCCTTATATAATACTAGAGGCCCGGTGCACAGATTCATGCACCAGTGGGGTCCCTCAGCGTGGCCTGCAGGGATTGGGCCAAAACCGGTAGTTTCAACACCTGCCGCTCCTGCCTGACGCCTCGGCTCATCCCAGCCCCACTGCGCCTGCCGCCTGCCGCGGGCTTGTGCCCAGCCAGTCCCTATAGGGAGAGGCTCATACTCGCCAGCTGTGAGCCCTGCATCTGGCGCCAGCTGAGCAGCACTCCCGCTGTGGTAGTGTACTGACCACCAGGGGGCAGCTCCTGCATTGAGCGTCTGCCCCCTGGTGGTCAGTGCACATCATAGCAACAGTCCTTCGGTCATTTGGTCGCTTAGGCTTTAAATATATAGATTAGGTTTTACATTTTACCATTATTATCATCACTAAGACAGGCAAGATACATTAGATACATAGATTCTAGTTCCTACTCTCTCATTAGTGACCTTGGGATTCAGGTCCCCACTAGTAATGAGAAGGGCTAAACAAAATCGCTGTTCCTCAAACTGGAATCTGTGTAGGGGGTAGGGGCTGGGGAGTATATTTTCAATGGACTACTTGTGAGTTCCCTGTGAGAATTTTAACCATTTTGTGTTTTCATTTTCGTGGTCATCTAAACAAACTAGAATAAACATATCTGGATTTTCCAAATGCCTCTTTTATAACCAAGTTCTGGCACAAGATTTCAAAGCCTAAGTTTATATTTGTGTTTGATTGTGTTGGCACCATAATTATAGCAGACTAATGAGGAAGGAACAGATGCAGACGTGAATTATGAATGACGAGATTGGACCAAATGAAAGCCAAATGGTATCAAATGAAGGTCATGGGAAAAATGGTTGGAGAACTGAACCCTTAGAACATAGACTGTCCAAACTCACAGGATGGCACCACAGCATCCCCTACCATATTCACGTCACTCCTCATGGTTTAGGTTCAGCTAAACAATGTCAGCTGTCTTACTACATCCATTTGAATTGTATTGGTTTTGCGATTTGGTTTGCATTTAATCTGTAAGTGATCATATGGTTTATAATAGCATATACAATAAGGGGGGGGGTGTCTAGTTTCACATATGTACATATTTAAGTAACATTATAACAAAAAGAAATTTAATGAATACAAACGGACCTTAACATTTTTGTTTTAGAAAAGGTCCAAATGGTATTCTAGTCTGAGAAACTATATTAAATTATCTCCAAGGTCCCTCCTAGCTCTTTGAGTCTAAGAAAGATGATCATTTTGGTTACGTTAAGCTTCGTTAGGACAGCCAAGTGGGGATGCAGGCTCAGAATTCAGGAAAAAGGCAGGGCAGAAAACAGACTTAGATGCTAACTACAGAGAGGTACAGCTAAACCCAGGAGACTAGATGGGATTTCTAAGAGTGTTCAGAGATAGAGAAGCGAAGAGCTGGCATTGAGCTTCAAGGAGTTCACCATGCCTTACAGCCTTCGCCTTCCTCTGTGGAAAAATACCATTCACCTACGCATTACAGATGATCTAAGAATTACTGTCCCATCCAGGCAGTGAATGGCTTTGAACCCTCCACAGGAATAAAACCATTTTCCGTTTTATTTTCCTCCAGGCTTGCAGTCAAAGCTGAGAGAGTCCACACTGGCACTAAAAGATCCAGTCTCTCTCCAAGCTGGGCCATTAACTCACTTCATTCCTACCGCAGTACAGGGGCCCATGAGGGGCTCTCGGAGAGCCACATGGCCCCGGGAGCTGTAGGAAAAGGAGGCGAAGGAACGGCTGGGGGCAATTCTGTGCCACATTCCAGAGGTCGGAACTCATGCTTGGGCACTAGCACAAACCCAAAGCTAACATTTCTGCCCTCGATAGTAAGTGACAGAGCCCACCAGGGCCACATTCATTCACTCACTTTGAGAAAACCAACAAGACTTCCTTTCCTCTCTCCTCCAATCCCCAACTCAAAACCATGAAGTAAAGCAAGGGAGAACGCCCTCCACCCCAAGAAACCCAAGCTTACTGTTTGTCTTCTTCTGTAAGTGAAGTTCTTCCACAGCAGCAACCTCAGCTGAGGCCAGCACGCCATGCTAGCTCAGCTGGTGCCCACGGCAACCTGAGCGTGGCTGGGAGTGTGGAGGCAGTGGCCCGAGCTCACAGCAGGGACGCTGTGGCTGGTCATTAACTGAAAGATAAAGCAGGCAGGGAGAGAGCTGTCAGTTATTGCTGCAAAGCCAGACGTACGCCAATGAGGGCTGTTGCTCCAGCCCCCTCACCTGAGCCCTCAATCCCAGCACTGCGTCATGACTGCTTCCCAATAGGTCCCCAATAGGTCATGAGTCCCCGACTTCCGGCCTCAGGCTTCTCCGGTAAACAGGGATTCTGGCAGTTTTCTGGGGACAGCCCGGGAGCTAGCTGTTACAATCCTAATCATTTTCGCTCCACGGGTGTGGCCATTTGGGGATGAAAAATACACTTATGCCCTAACCGGTTTGGCTCAGTGGATAGAGGGTCGGCCAGCGGACTGAAAGGTCCCAGGTTAGATTCCGGTCAAGGACATGTACCTTGGTTGCGGGCACATCTCCAGTAGGGAGTGTGCAGGAGGCAGCCGATTGATGTTTCTCTCTCATCGATGTTTCTAGCTCTCTATCCCTCTCCCTTCCTCTCTGTAAAAAATCAATAAAATATATATATTTTTTAAAAATACACTTATGCCAACAGATTGAAGTGAGCAATCTGAGGTGGTGGAGACACTGAGTTTGGAAGTGGCAGCCTGGCATCCCAGGGACCTGGCTCCCTTCTCTACGGAAATGCCTCCCCTCACATAAAATGAACCTGGTGTAATTTATGCTATTTCCTTCAATTCGCTCATACAACATTGTTGAGTCGTTCAAATGATAAACAACCCATTGGCAAAGCAGTTTCCCAATCTGGAAAGCCACCGTGTGTCTTAGGACGACTGTGAATAAACACCGAGGCAATGCTACTGACACCTGGCTCCCAGGTGGAGAGGACAGCCCCAGTGCAGCGTGTCTTCGGAAAGAAAAACAACATCCCATGGAGAAACAAGTCAGCTAAGGCGGGTGGGGAGCATCGCCCGTGAAACCGACAGGCTCCCACTGCCCAGACATCTGTACCCTCTGGCCTTGCTCCATCTGCACCTGCAGGAAGGGCCCAGCTGCTCCTTGCCAGGTGTCACCGGTGCCTCCGTGGAGGACTGCTTTGCCGTGCTAGGAAAAGCGGGGGGGCGGGGGGGGTCTCGTAAACAGGGGATACAACACATGTCCCAATCACCCACGCAACAACTGTATTCACTTAATGCTGGAATAATCCCAAGTAGTCCTACTAGAGTTAAAGTTGAGGGAGGGGCAGAGAAACAAAAAATAGAAGAAGGGAGGGATACACAGGTTAAAGCTGGGCCCTGCTGGCACTCCGCAGCCATGAACCCTCAGCAGAAACCAACTTTACTTCTAAAGTGGTTCAGTCAGTCATTGTGGCGGGCAGTGGAGTAGAGGTGGGAGTGGGATTTAGGCATGAGGAACAGTCAGCAAAAAGAGCTAAGAATGTAGTGACCACTTGTGGACACAAAACAAGGTAGTAGGCTAAAAGTTCACGAGTGCTAATCAGATCTCAGTGCAAAGGTCAGCCCCTAGTAGGATCTTACCCTTTTGTCCCCCACGCCACAAAGACTTGGATTAAAAACTTCTAGAGAAGAAAAGCGAGTGGAGGGAATTTGCAGTATCTGTGTAGAAGGCATGACCCATTCATTCATTATGTATTCAAATTCATTCCTTGGCAATTCGGAAAAAAGTTCTCACTCCAAAATGAGGAAGAGGTAAGCCAGCACCAAGTCAGTTTGCAATTTATTGTTTAAAGATAACTGAGCACAGAGAGCAGGATGTCATTGTGCTTGTAATCCCAGCGTTTCCGAAGTAGCCTAGGACAGGGCTTACACTCCAGAAACAGTGAAATAAATTATTAGCTAGTTTTTCTCCTGCAAAAGTTACTCTCCAGTAATCACTTCGTTGATTTAGAAGCGACATGAATCTTTTCAGATTTCCAAGGCAACAATGAGGAGGTTAGAACACACGTTTGTAATTTAAAAAGGGAAAATGTAACCTACTACAAAAAGCCCAGAGGTGCATTAGTCCCAGCTTCCCACCTATGTACCCTTGCACAAGCCTTTCCGGAAACAAGTTCTTTCCTCCTATCTTATCTTTCTCTGTTCTGTCGGTACCCTCCAGCACAGAAATGCTGTCCAAACGTTCTTTTCTATTCCATCATTTCTAGTAAATCCATCGGGTGGGTGTCTGGAAAGGTAGAAGGGCAGAGTAGAAAAGACAAGATAGAAATATTCTAGTGTTGGAGTCCAGAGCACAGAACTGCCTCCCCTACACCTGAGTGGAGACTCTCAGAAGGGGGAAGACACACCTCTATAAAAGGCTCGCAGGAGGAGATTTGGGGTAGAGTATTTTCCTAAAATTTGAGTCCGTGGGTCTCTAGATGCTGGTTCTGACCCTAGGGACCCTCCAAGGGGCACTCAGATAAGGTTAGCAAGAAGTAGCCCAGAGCGGCGGTAGAAGGTTCTGCTCTGGCTTTGCTGGGTGCAAACAGGCAGGATTCCTGCCCCA